TTACATAGAGATTAGATCAGTGTCAAATTCAAAATACAACTAGGTATAGAAAAAGTACCACCTGAAACTCTGGAACATGTAATATGGATAAATATTACACATGTTATAGAAGGCCGGGATTCATTCAGAAGAACCACGGAAGTGAGTGATAGCTTATGTTTGTCCTTTGGGTGGATTAAATATGTGTTTTTATGCTTTTGCAAAGACATTAGCCAAATCAAGGTGTTTAGTGCACTTGGACTGGAAAACAAGTGAGGCTGAATTTTTTACCTTCATGTACACCATTGCCACAGTAAATCATATAGTAGCAGTATTTTAAAACAAATTTGTCATTTTAAAATATCAATTTTTTAAAAAGTTTCCCCAAGTAGCTTTGTAAAATAACCAAATTAGGTAAACAATGAGTATTAGACTTCATGAAATGTATGAACCAAATGGACTGACACTGGTTTATCCTCCCCTCCCTCAGCCTCTTCCCCACAGAGGCAGTTCATGTTTACAGTCCCTTTAGGGTCTGTACATTTTGATATAAGGAAACTAATGATTTGTCTATACTCAAATCCAAATTAAATTCCTCAAGTATTTCGCTACTGGCAATTTCTAATAAAGTGCCGTCCTAAGAACAGGTGACCAATGGAGTGCATGTGAGGCTCATCTTCATTCTGGAGTGTGATGGAAACACAGGAGGCAGAAGGGACAAACCATATAGCATGGGAATGTGAAAGCCTGAGTTCCAGCCTCCTAGTTCTCCAACAAACCTGCTGTGAGGCCCATTACCTTTCCTTAGTTCTATTTCCTCATCTGTAAAATGAGGGCACTGCAACTAGATGATTGCTCAACTCTATTCCTGTTTTAAACAGTCTCTGTTCTAAAAGACTAGCCTGCATTGTCAGCCTGTGTGGACTACCACTGTGCACTAATGAATATGGCATAATTGAACTTTCTAGATCTCAGGGAATCTACATGTACCCTGTGTTTTATTGTCCCACCAATGTACCTGAGGCTTTTAGTGAGGAAAATGAGAGTTATCTACATAAAAGATAAGGTTCAAGTGTCTGAGAGAAGGAGAAGATATTACTTGAATTTAAAGACGGAAGAAACAGATTCAGACCTTCCTTTGCCACTAGCTTTATGACGGCTTGAGAAAGCTCCCTCTCTTCATTTTAGGAGGGCCTTAGTTTCCTCTTTTGTACATGAGGGCAGTTCATTTGTTTGTGGAGGCCAGGGAAGCATACAGGTGGGTGAAATCATAGCTAATATAAAGGTTCCAGGCCAGGAGCTGTGGCTCACGCCTGTAATCCCAGCATTTTGGGAGGCCGAGACAGGTGGATCACCTGAGGTCAGGAGTTTGAGACCAGCCTGGCCAACATGGTGGAACCCCACCTTTACTAAAAATAAAAATAAAATAAAATAAAAAATTAGCCAGGAGTGGTGACTGGTTGCTATAATCTCAGCTACTTGGAAGGCTGAGGCACAAGAATCACTTGAACCCGGGAGCTGATTGTGCCATTGCACTCCAGCCTGGGCAGCAAGAGGGAAAACTCTGTCTCAAAAAAAAAAAAAAATTTTTTTTTGTGATAGAGAGAAGCTTCTCACCATCATGCCTTATACCAGAATGATTGACAATGTAGTTTAATTGTAATTTGTTCTTCTTTCTGACCTTTTCCAGTAAGCTAGTGTGGATATCAATGAAACAGGGATTCAAAAAACAAAAAGGTAACCTGGAGAGAGAGAAACCAAAGGCCTTTGGATAATTCGTAGTAAATTTGGTTTTGAGTAGTCAGTTTTTGTATTATCATAATGTAACCAATTTTATCATATCCAGGAGAAAAAAGGTTGGAAAAACATCTTAACTTGCTAAGAGTGGTGAATCCCTGAGTTGAGCTTTTTGGCTTAACTTCTCAATATGAACATGGGTTTTCATGCTGATTGATAGGATCAGTTTAGTTTGTCCTGTCTTCATCACGGAGAATAAACTTGAATTGTTCATACCAACGATATGATGATTAATTCAGGTTTTTGGCTTGAGCATTTCTGTGTGGACTATGGAGGGAGCTCTTTTTCCTTTGGAAAGCAGGCCTGGGTATATACGATATAGCGAATTATCAGGTGACAGACATATGCTTTCCTGCAGCCTCTGCAGAGCTCACAGGTTCAAATGAAACCTGCCTGAATCATATGAAATTTAATTGAGTAGATAAAGAGGTCCTCATAATTATAAACTGCAGTAGGTATAACAAGAGGCTAAATACATAGCTGTGGTTTTAATTAGCTGGTGCTTCAAATTAGTAATGTTGGTTTCAGTCAGAAATCAGTGACGTTATAAACTGAAAGCCTCATCACCATGTAGTTCATTACTCATTAGACCTCGCTGCGTGAAGCCTTCAATACAACGCCATGCTGAGCAAGAAAGGAAAAAGTTGGAGATATTTGGTTGCCTTCCAAGAGCAGTGGAGCTCTGTGGAGATTAAATTCACTCTTGCCAGAGATATGAGAATTAACTGTTCTTTGTTGGATGTGTTAAAAAATGCAGCAGGCAGTTTTGCTTGCAACAGATAACACCCGTGTGCATACTCAGTCTGCTATTCAAATTTGTGTCTGGAATTTGGTAGCTAATGAACTGATGCAAAATGCAGCCAAGAGCCTCCTAACAAATCAAAGCTGGAGCTAAAGCACCGAAAGTGCCCTTACTGCTGGTCGTTTGAAAGGTTGTCATGCAAGTTGAAGCACGTTTCCTTTTCTTCTCCTTCTCCTTTATTTTTTTTTTTCCTTCAGAGTTTTAATTATATCTTTCCCTCGGAGGAGAAAGAAGGTAGTTTGCAAAGCCAAGAGACCAAAGCACTTCAGTTCTCTTCACGGGAGAATTAAATGTGATGTATGGGCCTGTCATTCTGAGCTGTCAGGTGCACAAAATGAACAGATAGCTAGAAAACTGACATTTTGCTCGCATTACTCAGAAAGAAAAGACTTTGGTTTTTGTTTGTGTGTAGATAATAATCCGCTGTGGAAAGCAAAGAAATTAAGTGTCCTTCTCCTTTGCAACAACCCCGCCCTCACTGAATATGGCTTTAACTTGTTACTCTACTCCCACCCTAACACCCAATCTTTCTTACATTTGGATACATTGATGAGATTGGACTACACACAGCCAATTTATGCTGTTGAGGTACAGTCACAAGCTCCCCACTTACCGGACTGAAGATGTTACTGTGCCTGATTGTGTCCATGTCAATCTCCAATGTGAAGACATTGAGACACACAGCAATTGTTTGGGGTTCTGAGTTCAACTTGTGAATGGATATGAAAGCTGATACTAGAAAACCTGATACATGTAGAGGGCATCTGAGACTACAAATGATAGGCTGGTTTCCAGTATTTGGACATGGCATCTTCCTTGACCAGGCAAGGACTAGGTGTGGGGCCCGGGCTTTGGGTAGAACTCTGAAGGTTTTCTTTGCTTTGCTCAGACAGTGATAACATTTGTTGAATATAGTCATGAATGGCCCAGTGAACTTTAATGTATCTGACATTGTTTTTATTATGAAAGTATAATGTGCATTTAAGCATTCTATAAATGTTGTCACTGTTTTTAAATGGAGAAATGGGTGCTCTTTATCTAGGAGACGAAGTTATCAAAGTCACTTTGAATTTGACTGTTCAAGGATTTCTGGGAAGAAAGGTGGAAGATTAAGTATAGTGGGATTGTGTACACTCCATGTTTATCAACATCTAGTTAAGCTGTGCAGATAGTTTATGTTCTAGGTTCTTACTTTGTAAATTAAATTTATGATACTCTGAGCAAACTAGCCTACCAATGACAGATATTAAGATTTGGGATATAGTCAAAGCCTATCAGCTGTACTTTTATATCAGTAGATCTCTTGTAATTCCTTTAGCTATTATGTTCATTTGCATGACAATTATCTAATTAAGTCTTAACATGGGAATATTAACATGGGGAAGGAAACCAACATTTATCCAAGATCTGCTAGGCATTTCATGGACATTTATGTAATTTAAATTTGCCCAGTATATATGTACTGTGGGTAAGGTTAACACCAAAAGCATGAAAAAAGCCCAATGAATAAAATTCATTCATTACGAGACTTACAGGTTATGGTTTAATTTGCACTCTTGCATGATGAAGAAAATAACTGTTTCCTTAGTAAAGAAGCATTCCATTCCGTAAATCCGAAAGGCCCAGAATATATCTTAAATGTTGTTTAGAAGCGTTTGATCCCCCAATGGGAAAGCCTGAAATGTGATGAGAGTCACAGGCATTATAAAACATTTGTGCATTAAGGTCATTAAAGGCTTTTGACACCTTTTTTTCATCCACAGTTAGTCATTTGTTAATTCAAGTCAGATCCCCTTTTTTTGTGAAGACTTTCTCAAAAAGGCTTCCATTCACCTTTGAAGAAAATTATGAGAAGACCAACACCACAACAACCAAGCAAAAAGAAGTGTAGGTGATTTTTTGTGTGTGTGGACTTCTGAAAATGTACTTAAATTCCCCTGTGAGTTCATTCAAACGGGCTCACTTTGGCTATGGGCTCAGGACAGAATTCCAGTTTATCTGTACCTCCATACTTTGATAATTCCTTTCCCTTAGGACTTGGTGACTCTGTGGATTCTGAGCTCTAGGTAGTTGGCAACACAATGCAACTTTAATTCAATACCTTTCTGCACTGTGGACTGACTTTTGGGGAGCATGTAATTGCTTATAGTAATCAAACAAGGATAAGGGAAGAAAATTTTGCTTTACTTGCTTGTTGTGAATATAATTTCAAATAAGCAAGTGTCTGTTTTCTTCTTTATTCTGAAGAATGATCAGCATCTTAAACTCAGGTATAATGAAAAGCATTATCTGCTCTCTATGCAGTGTCAACTTGGGCAGCAAGTTGACTTGAATTTTTTTCTTCTTATTGACAATAAGGGGAAATGTAAATGACTTGCATGATTAATCTTTTTCTCTTTTTGTCTTTTCCTTTTCATATCAGCCACTATGAACAAGACCGTAGTGCACTTAAGAAAAGGGAATGGGAGCGGAGGAATCAAGAAGTCCAGCAAGAAGACGATCTATTTTCTTCAGGCTTCGATCTTTTTGGAGAGCCATACAAGGTAGCTGAATATGTATGTACTTTTTTTTTCTGGAAAATGGTTGCTTATTACATTTTTGAACTCACTAATCAACATTTAATTTATGTTTAAAGTACCCAACTCATTTCCAGGGGAATATATTTTACAAGTGAAATATGTATATACACTGTATTTGAGGCAACTGCAAGTTTCTGATGAAGTCTTCAGAAACAAATTTCATTTTCTTTGGGGAGCACAGAATGATTGAAGAGAGGCTTGTGAGACTTCCTGTTTCAAATGAGCCCCTCTCTGCCCCAACACTTCCTACAGCAAGGAATGCCCCCTTGACACTTTCTACTGCTGTGATTGCCAGTAGGCAGCTCCTGAAGACTTCATCAGAATGTCAATGGAGATGTCTATTTCTTTTCCCAATCAGTATCATCCATCGCAAGGCCACTGTTTTTCTTTGCCATTTTAGGTTGATAGCAGCTGTTCACTGGTTTGAGTGCTCTTTGAAAATCACTGTTCTAGAATAAAGGAAAAAGCCAATCATTTCTCCTGGTGGTTAATAATCATGGGTTAGAAGATTGTCTCAACCAGAGGGGGGTGGTATAGCTAGGTTGAATTTCTAGTGGTATTCTGGCTAGTGTGTAGCTCCAATAATCACCAAACTGCTGTGTCTACAAGTATTGATTTTACAATGACTGCTTCTTAACTTTCTATTTGGGGTAGAGATGAGAGGCGACTGAAAAGAGATTATGATGGAAGAACCTTATTGAATTGCTGGCAGCTGGTTCGTTTTTATTGAAATGTAGTAGCAGTGTAATTTTCTGTAATAAAACAAAAATGATGTAAGAAATACAAAAATGGAGAAAATTTTCAAGAGTTGTGATTTTGGAAGAGCATCCTTTAAGGGACAGTGACTTCTGGAAAAGGGGAGTTCTTAAGGAAGACAACATAGGCCCAAATAATACTTTGGGGTGGAGAGTAAGCTGTTTGGATTGGTGACTGGTGAGACAAGGGTCTCATTGCCTTCTTTAGAGCAAGTAAGCAACTCTTGGTTGAAACATTGCAGGAACTTTCAAGTTTGGTAAACCTGCTGAAGAACCTTAGGTCACCTACGCTTCTGGTTTTCAATCTGTCAGTAATAGTATGATCCACAAAAAAGCAGTGTTGCCATATCAATAGGTTAATTTTTATACTACTTTGGAGGTATACATTTAGACATATAATTAGTTAAACAAACATTTGTGAAGGCCAACTGTGTGCTAGTCACTGCCTTAGACTTGTGTACAAAGAGAAATAGCATAGTCTCTGTTTTCAAGGAGTTCTAGTCAAGTTGCAGAGATCATTTGGAACAGTGCTATGGCATGCCTCCATGGTGACAGAGAGATAGCAAGGGAATGATCAGTGAAGACTTTGTATTCAAAGTCGTTCTGAGGAGTATGAACATAAATTTTTACATGATGGAAAAAAACAATCATTACAAGTATTTAAGTCAGGGTATGGCCAGAACAAATGAACAGTTTAGAATGATAATGTTGGGCAATGTGGAGAGTTTGTTGGAGGGAGGGAAAACTAAGGGAAGGTAAAGAAGCTACTGTAATTGATGAAGGGAGCTTATGTCAGGAATGACTTAAGGTAGAGTAAGGAAGTTGAAATGATGGAATTGGGTATCTAATTGCATGTGGGGAGCATGGAATAAGAATTAATTGTTCCCAATTTTTTTATTTCAGAGGATGGTAATGTCATGAACAAGTTGTTCAAGAGGAGAACAGGGTTGGTGCTTGTAGAGAAAAAAATAATTAATTTAGTTTTGAGCATGATGGCTTTGAGATGCTAGGTAGTATCAGGGGAGAGCTATCCAGTAGTGTTGAATATATGGGTCTGAAACTCCTGGGAGTGATCAAGAGAGAAATTTAGCTGTTACTGTCTTGTAGGTGTCAGTAGAAGCTGTGAGAATGACTACCATCACTGAAGAGATTATGGAGTTAAGAGGAAGTACAAATAATTCTTGGGAGCAGCACTATTTAAGGGGTAAAAGTGTTGGTGAAAGCAGAGGCCAGGAAAGGAAACTTCAAAGGAATGATCAGTGTGGTAGGAAGAGAACTAGAAAAGAAATATTTAATAGAAACCTAGGGAACAAAGGATTTTATGGAGGATTGATTTGCTGTGCCTCAGAGAGGTTAGGAAAGGTAAGAACTTTAAAGTGGCTGTTTGGATTTGGCAGTTAAGGAGTACGTGATGACCTTAGTGAGAGTGGTTTTATTTGTTGATGGCAATGGTCAATTGGAGAATAGATGGGAAGTGGTTAAGTAAAGAAAGTGAGACAGTCGATGTAGATATGATCTTGCAGAAATGTTTTGCATAGAGGAAAAAAGAAAGATAAGTTAGAAAGTAAAGAGAGGAATTATATAAAGGGAAGCTTTTTAGAAAAATGAGATAAACGTGAACATGTTCAGAGATTGATGGAGAGCAAATAACTTCAATGGAGAAAGAGGAGGTGGAAGATACAGAAGAGAAGGGTGAAGCTAAGTGGAGCAAGGGCCAGTGAAGATTAAAAATAATACAAGATGGAGAGCAGTTGAGGAATCATGAGGTATGGGTGGAAGGTAGATACAGAACATTAGAATGAGAACAAGGCAGGAGAGGGGAAGGAAAATTAGGGAAGTGAAAAAAGTCAGGGCTTCTTGCATTTTCTCCAAAAGATGGAGGAGAGGTCAAAGGATGGTAAGTGTCTTGTCCTTTCTCAAGGTGAAGAAGGAACAAGGAGATAAGTTTTACATGTTATCATTGGATGGGTTAGAAAAATGAGCTTTACTCAAAAGATTTATTCTTAAAATCCAATATCCATACTATCCTCGACACTATAATGAGGTGAAGAACTCCTGATTTATTCTCCCTTCATAATTTTAAGTCATGATGAATTGATGGTCTTGTACTTTTAAGGGAAATGCCATCTTTTCACAAGACCTGTTATATGGAATCATTTTTTTTTTTTTTTAGATGTTAGCAGTGTATTTTTGAGTAGGCAGTTGGAAAAAAAATCTGTTACTAACATTTTCAGAAGTTTTCTTTCTTTTTTTTCTTTTTTTTTTTTTTTTTTTTTGAAATGGAGTCTCGCTCTGTCACCCAGGCTGGAGTGCAGTGGCGTGATCTCAGTTCACTGCAACCTCTGGCTTCTGGGTTCAAGCAGTTGTCTGCCTCAGCCTTCCTAGCAGCTGGGATTAACAAGCGCCGACCACCACACCTGGCTAATTTTTGTATTTTTAGTAGAGACAGGTTTTCACCATCTTGGCTAAGCTGGTCTAGAACTCCTGACCTTGTGATCCGCCCGCCTCAGCCTCCCAAAGTGTTGAGATTATAGGCGTGAGCCACCATGCCTGGCCAACATTTTCAGAAGTTTTCAAAAGTCATCTATCTTGATATTATGAGGATACATCAGGTAGAGACATAGATGGGAATATTTAGTATAGTGTTGGGCAGGGCATATTGTGTGATTAGTAGCTTGTTACCTTTGTGCTTCCTGATGGGGAAAAACCTTTGTTATTTTTTATTTTTCTGAGATGGAGTCTTGCTCTGTTGCCCAGGCTGGAGTGCAGTAGTGCGATCTCAACTCACTGCAGTGCAGCCTCTTTTTTTTTTTTTTTTTTTTTTTTTTTTTGAGACAGAGTCTCACTGTGTCGCCCAGGCTGGAGTGCAGTGGTGTGATCTCGACTCACTGCTGCCTCCGCCTCCCAGGTTCAAGTGATTCTCCTGCCTCAGCCTCCCAAGTAGCTGGTATTACAGGTATGCACCACCACACCTGGCTACTTTTTGTATTTTTAGTGGAGGCGGGTTCTCAACATGTTGGCCAGGCTGGTCTTGAACTCCTGGCCTCAGATGATCTGCTCACCTTGGCCTCCCAAAGTGCTGGAATTACAAGTGTGAGCCACCGCGCCTGACCAAAACCTTTGTTCTTAAGTCAAAACTGTGAAGGAAAAGAATAATACTTGTGCTTGCTGACTTAATAATTATTTTTCTTTCACCCTTGCTTTGATGATTGGTTGTCATCTTGTGCTACATCCACATTAAGGGTTCTCTGAGAGAGCACTGAGGAGTAAGAGAAAAGTAGAACTGATGTTGCACCTCCATAAGGCTCCCCAGACCAAGATTGGGCTGGATACCCTTGTAGTATCTGGATACGCCAGTGGTCATGGGAGTCCTAGAGCTGGCTTGTGGTCCACTGGTAGAAATGAAGACATACCACAGCTCTTCCCTAAGGTGGTAGTGGGAGTGCTTATCAAATTTAGAATAAAAATTCCTGATGGTGGATCAAAACTTTCAGGAACGTTCTTGCTATCCTGAAGCCTAAAACAAGGTCCAGTCACCTGTCCAAAAGCGTCAGTCGTTCATAAATTAGCCAGTATGAACACTGATCTTTAGGACCTATTATTCTTTTTTGGCAGAGAGATAAATGGTGACCTCTCATGTTCCTGGCTGATTTCTTTCCCTTCTTTGCTTTGCCTCTACCACTGTCAGAATGGAGAGAATGCTGACCACCCCTAGATTTGGTTGGTGATAGGAAACTTCTCTCTGGTCTGCTTTTGTAGCATATGATTTTTAAACTGGAGTTTGTGTTATGCTGTTGAGAAGGATGTCTTCAAATGTGCCTGAAAAATATGAAGCCATTTGACTTTTCTAGGTTAATGCAGTAAGTTTGGTGAGGAACTGGCATGTACCAAGTGGATGCCAGCTTGATGTGTGCTAGGCATTGTGCTAGGGTTTTATGCATGTGTTCATTTTAGCCCTTAAAACAACTGGAGTATGTAATTTTCCCATGTTTTCCATGAGGAATTTTAACTCAGAGAAGTGAGATGGCTCTTTGCATTTTTATGTCCTTATACATGGCAAATTTAGACCTTGCATCCAGTTCTGTATGATTCTGCATCTGTAACAGGAAGTTATTAATCCTCTGACAGGAAATCAGAAGATGTGATAAGCTTACCTGCTGAGAGATGGTGGAAAAGAAACTCCCTTTCTCTGATCCATAGGTTTTCCTTTTCTTTTCTGAAGTGAAACATAGTAATTAATAAGAATAGTAACATTTTATGACTCTTCATAGCCCAATGAGAATGAGGAAACTGACGTGCAGAGATAATTATTAAGTGGCTTACCCAAGGTCATTTGTATTGGAGCACATAGAGGTAGAGGCCAGGTGGAGGCCAGAGCTACTCTGCTGACTCACATGGTTATTTTAAGGATCAAAATGAAATAATCTGGGAAACCTTGCTTTGAAATCTGTAAATTTCAAAGCAATATAAATTTCAAAGCTATATAAATTCAGTTATTATCATGGTTAGAATTAGGATAAAAAAACAAATAGGAACTTAGAGCTTAGAGAGATTAGCTGCAAAAATACTAGAATTAGAAAAAAACAAATTACTAAATCAAATGTTAGCCACAATAAAATAAAAGAAAAAAATGAGCTTCAAAACATAAATTATTTTGCTACTTTTATTAAAAAGAAATGCTATGGCACAATAGCCTCCTAGCACATTAGTCATGCATGCAATGACATTATACTACTTATTTGTAGATAGCATTAGAAGCAAACTGAGGGAAGTTTGCATTTCTTGCAGTAATGAGAGGCAAAAAAAGCTTAAATGAAGGAATGCTGTTAATCATAAGCCACAAACCAGACATGTAATTTATGCTTGAAAATACTTGGAAAATGCATTTCTTGATGATAGAGAAATTGTGATTACTTAGAAAATAATCACTGCAGAAGTTACCTTTAAAGAATCAACCAATTATCTAGACTGGGAAGTAAAGAATTGGCCAAATTGAAAGAAGCATATAATTGATTGAAATGGCTGAATTTTATTTTTTTCATGTTTACAATGTTCAATCAAGATTACCAAGACTATTTTGCTTCTTAATAGGATTACTAAGACTCTGGAGAGTGAAAAAGAACATTTAGTATGAATCTGAAGTTGCTATGGTGTATAATGAGAGTACATTGTGTAGGTGTGTATAAATGTATTTCAGGCCCCATTGGGTTTTCTATCCAGTGGTTCTCATATCTCCATCTTGAGAAATTTAAAAACTGGTTGACAGTTACCCACCTCCAATGGTGGGAAGGTGGAGTGCTTACTCTGACAACCTGGACTGGACTGCTAATTGTGTGCCAGTTGTCAAATGGTGAACTTCTTGAGGCTCTGTGTCCGTGCGTCCTCTGTGCATAACCCTGCCTCAGGTGGGTCTCAAATTTACCAGTGTCTGTCTTAAGAACCACTACGATAATTCTTACTCGTAGCCACAGAACATCTGTTATGCAAAGCATATGGATCTTCCTTCAATCAGCAACTCAGAAAGCATCATCAGTGAACTCAGTCTTGAATTGTGTGCTATACATTTTCTGTCACAAGTCCTTCCGAGACAATTGCTCTATGACGAAGCTAGTCTAAGGGAGATGACATCCCTCTATTTCTGCAGGTTATCACAGCTTCACTCCTGTGTCATTAGTGTGCAAGAAACCTGCACTCCTGGATTGTATTAGTCTAGACCTCTAAATCCACATTCAGACATGCTTTCACTTAGTTAGTCATCATAAGAAAAAGTCACATGAAGACATCTTTGTATCATCTTGGAAAATGAGGCCCCAAATATTGTTTTATTGCTCAAATGTTCTTGTAACCATATCAATGAGAGGACTTCCTTTTCACATTTTATTATCATACAACCATGTGTCTCATTTAATGAATTAGGATATGCTTCTTTCCATCCAAGATAATTCTGTAATCTACGAGCTTTTCCTTTTTGCCTTAGCTACCTGGAAACTCAAAGTTCAATTTAATGTTCAATCATAGTAACCAAGTTAGCCTGATTTTTACCTTCTATTTATGTACCTTTGGCTCCAGCTATTGAAAATTCTTTATTTTGATATACACAGGGTATGAATTTTAATTTATCCTGTTAAATTCTGTAAAAATTTATTGAGTATTTGATAAGCACAAGACATGGTGCTACATCTTGGGTATATAAAAATAAGTAAAATGTGGTCTCTGACCTTTAAGATCTCATAGTTTTATTCAAGAAAAGATATCATAAATACAGTATAAACTATGTAGCAAAGGTTGATTTTCTAGACTTATTGAGAGAAATTTCAATTTTCCTCTAATTTTATTCACATAGACACAGTTTTAGACATTGGCCAGTTTAGAAGTTCTCTTCATTTCAAGCATATTTTTAAAACCTAGATATGGAAAAATATATCTAAGCTTGCTTCAGTAAGCCAGATCATTATAAGTAAATGTAAATGAAGAGACATTACCAAGTAGGCAAGGTTCTCCCTACTGAGGATAAGATGAACCTCTTTTATTTACTGCTGAAACAAGAACAAGAATTTGACTAGCTTGCTTGTAAGCAAATGAGCTTTGACGTTCTTGGGTCCTGTTTATGTTTCCCTAAGGAGACTAGAATGACTTCTCAGGGCATGGAAGTGTTACAGTGGTCTCCCTGACACCTAGGGACAAAGTTCTGATTTTGCAGAGCTCTGTTTCTGTGAAAGCCATATAATGAAATGAAAGCATTTCCAATGGGAAGTGAAATGGTGCTGTTTCCCTTGTTGGGTCAGATCCTTGAATATGACCAGGTATCCCTGTTCATGAGGCAAACATCTGACCCAAGAGGTAATCTGTTTAACAGGCCAAAACAGCCTGCAAATGTTTAAAGCTTGCTTCAGATTCTTGTTAGACCCTCAGCACAATGAATTTTTTTTTTTTTTGCTTGTTTTAAATTTAGAGATTGAACAGAGAGCCTGGTTTTGGCTGCTGTCCATGTGGTTCATTGTGCAACTCAGTTGAAGGAGACCACTATATACAAAGAGTTTGTTCTTGTCTGTGCTAAAAAGTAATTCCTGCCATTAAAAATGACAAACCCAGAGACTTCTAGGAAATAAAAGTGACTTCTACCCATCTATGACTATTAAACATGGCTTTCAGACGTGCTTCTGAAGACAGAGTGATTATTCAGCTGAGGATTATATGGAATGTTAATTGTTTACTCACTACTTCAGTACCAAGGTTGCATATGATGCAATATATGATTGGAGGATAAGCAAACTAAAGTCGACATAGTTATTTGATTTCTAAAAATCCCTGTCCCTGACAGAGCTCCCTTATCATATGTTTAGCATACTTTTCCTTAATCTTTGAAATTTATATGTCTCCTGGTGCCCTCATTTCTTTGGAAGTGTCTCACATGGTTTCACACACACAGTATGAGTTAGATACTTTTTATGGTATATTGAGATGGTGGTAATAATGAGGCCAAGGTTCCCAATTTGATTCTGTCTCTCTCTGATTGTTTCTTCTTGGTATCGTTTGCTGGCTCCTTTTCTCTTAGTCTCTTAAAGGTTGATGTTTCCCAAGGTTCTCTGCCAGTCTCCATCTTCTCATGCTACATTTTCTTTCCCCAGGAGATTTCACCCATTTCTGGCACTTCGCCCTCTATCCATCTGCATATCCTCCCATCTTCACATACAGAGGAAAACACACAGCCATACACCCTAAGTTTAGACTGAGATGCTAGACCTAGATAGGTATACTCCCTGTGTACACCAGGAGACTGGGCTATGTTAAAGTAATGCAAAAAATCTTAGATGTTAAACAACTATCTTCAGCAAAGAGTGTATCAATGGTTAGATGGTCACTCCCTCCTGTGCATGGAAAGTGTGCCCATGGCTTACTTGAAGGGGACTTGAAGGTCACATAGGGTGGTATCTTTCCCATCTAGTGGCCCGGTTGGCAGATGGCTCCTTGAATACTGGTAACCTTTTATCATTGCAACATCTTGGGCCAGGATAGTGCAGCCTAGGTATAAAAAAAGTCCTTTGGCTTTTGGAATTCAGCAGGTTGTTTTGATTACCCCTTTGGAATATAATGAGAATAAAGAAAGCCACTTTTGGGGATGAACAACTGAGCTTTCATCAGTTATTTCCAAGTATACAGCTAACCACTGTTTTTAAGTCATGATAACTTTGCTTTCTGTATTACAAAACCCCATGCAGGAACACAATTATTTTAAAAGCAATCACAACCATTTTAATAGGACTAATACTACAGGGGGTGGTGTAGCTGGTATACTTATTGTCCATAAAATGATTTGGTTGCCTCTGTAACTGTCATGTATTAGGCTAACATCACTTTGAAAAGATAACTTTGTTTTGGTTTACTTAAATGACAGTTTAAACACTTAAATAAATTTTCTGTAATCATTGAAAAGACACAGAAGGGCTTGAGTCACTGTTGATGAACAATTGCACCATTTCAAAGTAAATGAATATGAATCATCAATATGTAAGCACAGTCATTCCAGAATATATAGGCAGACACTAGTAATTCATACAGTTCTATGATTAGAAGAAATCAGATTCACTTTAGTCATAAGATAGCTCAATTAGATGCTGTTTAATTCCATGCCTTTTCTAAACTTAGTATAGTCATGGTAGCACAATTTAACTGATTTTCTTATCCAATAGTCTAAGCCTTTTTCATGGTATAATGTGGTGTAAAGGCTGATATGTCAAGAATATATATAGGTAGAACATTCCATTATAACTCCAATGATTGGTAAACAGAAGTTAATCACAGTGTAGAATGTAGCAATTCAGCTCATCTGACACAGAATAAGTTATTTTTCTAATAAAATTAATAAATGATGTAATATAAAACTTTTTCTCAATGAACATGTTTAAGGACTGGCTAGGGAGTATACAAATGTTAATCATACCCACTCATTCCAAGAGGCTTTTTCAATAGTGTTATTGATTTTTTTTTCTTACATAGCACATGAAAAGCATGAAATTAGATGGCAGCAAGACAATTTTAAAGAAACCCGTATGCTAGTCTACTTAGGGCATCTGTTTGAAACATTAACATTAGGAAACACAAACCTATTCATTCTCTCTCCTCCCACCCCCATCTTTTTGTTATTTTAGACAAACAAAGGTGATGCACTTGCCAACCGAGTCCAGAACACGCTTGGAAACTATGATGAAATGAAGGATTTGCTAACTAACCATTCTAATCAGAATCATCTAGTGGGAATTCCAAAGAATTCTGTGCCCCAGACTCCCATCAACAAAAACGAACCAAGCTTTTTTCCGGAACAGAAGAATAGGATAATTCCACCTCACCAGGATAGCACCCACCCTTCAGCACCAATGCCTCCACCTTCTGTTGTGATACTGAATTCAACTCTAATACACAGCAACAGAAAATCGAAACCTGAATGGTCACGTGATAGTCATAACCCTAGCACTGTACTGGCAAGCCAGGCCAGTGGTCAGCCAAACAAGATGCAGACTTTGACACAGGACCAGTCTCAAGCCAAACTGGAAGACTTATTTGTCTACCCAGCTGAACAGCCCCAGATTGGAGAAGTTGAAGAGTCAAACCCAGCTGCAAAGGAAGACAGCAATGCTACGTCCAGTGGAGAAGATGCTTTCAAGGAAATCTTTCAATCCAATTCACCAGAAGAATCTGAATTTGCCATGCAAGCTCCTGGATCTCCCCTAGTGGCGTCCTCTTTGTTAGCTCCCAGCAGTGGCCTTTCAGTTCAAAACTTCCCACCAGGGCTTTACTGCAAAACAAGCATGGGGCAGCAAAAGCCAACTGCATACGTCAGACCCATGGATGGCCAGGACCAGGCACCAGACATCTCTCCAACACTGAAACCTTCAATTGAATTTGAGAACAGCTTCGGGAATCTGTCATTTGGAACACTCTTGGATGGAAAACCCAGTGCAGCCAGTTCAAAGACTAAACTGCCAAAGTTCACCATCCTCCAAACAAGTGAAGTAAGTAATTTTTAAAGTTTTGTTTGGTTTCACTTTTTTTAGTTCTCTGCTCTAACCTCTATAATCCAGTATTCACCAGCAGCTCTCATTTACCTTATTGAGCTGTATAGGATTCTCTTCAAGGTCAGAGTCTGAATTTTTTGATCTTCTGTCACTTGTGACATGACTGATTAACATGCTGCAAATACAGTTAAATCTCCATAATTTGGAATGGCAAAAGACAAGGTTGGTCTGAGTGAATGAATGACAAGTTGAAGTTATAAAATAGTATCATAAAATACAGTTGTGATAGTGTTATGTACAAATTAATAACATTTGAGATTATAATTGGTCATAAGTAGTATGAGGTTCACGAGAAGATTGCGAGTCACTATAGGCCTTCACTACTCAATATTCTAAACTTAAAACATATTCTAAACTTAAAACACAGAAGTTCCTTAAAGTACAAGAATGTGCAAGTGTGGTTTGCTGGAACCTGAAGTAGAAGGCATTCTTTAAGAAGTTTAGTTTCTTGAGTGATTACAGGGCTATTCCTTGGCAAGATCTTAATGTTATCTTCTGTATCCATCAGTCTTCTCTTCTACATCGCCTTCCTCCACAGGTTTCTACATAGCCCTTTTATTCTACCTTCATCCTTTCTGTCAAAGCAAAAGGCATTACGATCAACCAAAACCCCACTGGTTTAGAATGACTATCCTACCCATCTCAGGAATCATTGCCTTGTAAAAGAGAAGTCCAGAGGGACCAAAGCCTCTTCCAAGGAATGAATCGCTAATGATTGGATTCCAGGCCTTGTGGCCCCTGGGTGGGGGGCATATATGGTGCTGCCTCTCAGACACCACCATGTAAGCGGCTGTCTACTGCATCTCAAGCACTTGATTGGAAGAAGCCACTGCCTTTAGATTGGATTCCTGTCACTGGTGACTAAAGGCTTGAAATGACACAGAGGAAGAAAGTAGGCTTAAAATCTTACTCGATAGGAGTGACAGGCAGTCTGTCTGAATGGTTACAGATTCCAAGTTAGTGGTATCTAGAGAAGTCTGATCCTATAAGCCCCTGGATCTCCTTCCTTTATTTATCCTCAGCAGATGCGGTGATTTCAGAGGACAATGGGAACACGAAGGGAGGGAGGCCTGGGCTGTTGGCTGTATTTTCTGAATGTATGTTTTTAATATTGTTTCATTTCTGAGGCGATTTTGCTTTTTGTGTCATCATTCATCAAGTCTTGTCAAGCTTCCTCTTAAGTATCTCTCTAGTCTGTCACCTCTACCCCCACTGCCTTTGAACCACCTGTGAGCCTTCAGTGGACTGCTGTGAGAGCCCCTCCTGACTGATCTCCTTCCCTCTAGTGTTACCTCTCTTCCAAACCATCCATGCAGGCTCATCTAACAGGCAGATCTGACCATGTCACTCCCTGCTTTTGATTCTTCAGTGCCTTCTCATCACTTCCAGGGAAAGTCCAACTTTCTTAGTCACACATACAAGGCTCTTCATGCTTTAGTTTCATACTCCCTTTCTGGCTACATATTTCACTACTTCTTCATGTGCAGTTGAAATCCCAGCCATATGGGACTACCTGTGGTTCCCTGTCATGTCATGCTTTATCACGCTTCTTTGCTTTTTGGCCTGCTGTCCCCTCAGCATCGAATGTCTTTCCTCACCTTCCCTTGTCTTCCTGGTAAAGTCCTGTTTCTCTTTCAGGTCTGGTCATTTGTCACCTTCTCTGTGCAAGCTTCTCTCATCCCGCCCAGCTTAAAAACCCCATCCTCTGGCATCCTCTAGCACCTTCTATATGCCCTGATTGGCTCTGACTTCATTGTATTATAGTGATTTGGTTATGTTTCTCTTTCCTTACTAGACTGTGAGCTCGCTGAGAGCAAGGAATATCTCATTCTCTCTGTATCCCAAGCGCCTAGCAAATATCTAGCACATAGTAGATATTCAATAAATGTTTGTTGAATGAATGAATTTCAAAAATGGTTACTTGATTACATTTTCCCAGCCACTGTGTTAATCAACTAACATGTACAAAGGTAAACAACTGGTAGGAAATCCACTATGAGTTGTATCTTTTTCAGTTGTATTCCGTCTGCCTGTTTCTTACTCCGCTCTACTCCTGTTCAGTCATTGAGAAATCTTAGCCATAATTTCTCATGGATGACTTAATACAGGCTTTAATACTTAAAAACCAAAAACAGATCTGCTTTGAAAAAGTAAAAGTATAATGGGTGGTGGGAATATCATTCTTATTTCTTCTTTTGCCCTGGTATCTGCTGTTGTCCCCTCCTTATACAGCCAGGACTGATCTGGAAATAGAACTGCCCCATAAAGCAGTCTGTCAGCCTGTTTCCATACCTCATTAGTGGAGTGACAGATCACAGACCCAGTGAAATCCACTCTGTTGTAATTCTCTCTCTTATACATTCACAAAATGGCTGACCCAAATTCAGAAATGACTTCATGCTCTCACTCAGTGCCCTGGCACACCAATAAGAGGTACATTTTCAAAGACAGTCTGAGCTGTCATCAGCTCTGGAGAAGATTATCCAAGGAGCAGCCTATGTGCATGCAGCCTTTGGTAATGGTACAAACAGACCTTGGTAGAGGTCTGCATGAAAAATGGGCCAGGTGCAGTAAAGTCATGATAGGAGATCAGTGAAGAAAGTACTTATTTTAAAATATGGGTTTCAAGGAAGGATTTGACAGAATAGTAGAGAGAAGCTTAAAGCCCTAAAGGCAGGGGCATATACAGAACCCAAGGGTAATGTGAAAACCAAAAATAGGAGGAAAGGAAATGAGAGGTTAGACAGCCCAACAAGAGAGCTTAGGAGGGTGCAGATTAAAATGCCGGCATAAATATAGACAGGGTGGAGCATTATGGAGCTTTGAACCTAATGGAATTTATGTGGCTAAAACTCTGACCAAGTCTGAAAATTCACCCTATTAAATCTTGATGCACTTTTCAAAAGCACTTAGCATTAGAATTCAGCCCCAGTTCCTGGTGCCAAGAAGTTTCAGGCACTGGGTTCCGGGTCCCTAGTCAGTGTAGCTCTCTTTGATGAGTGGTAGCATTACTCTGAGTTATTACCAAAAAGGCTTATCCATGGAGCAATCACAGTATTTCCTTGAGCATTCTCAACTTTTCCCCTGTCTCCAGTGACAGGAGGTTGATGAGTGTTAGTTAAGTGCATTTGTAGGGAGGGCGAAGCAGGATGGGTTGAATGGCCAGAAAACAGACAGCATTCTAAGATGTACAGTTAAGCAGATAACATTATATTTATGAACTGAGAGATCACAAACTATTATTGAAGTGTGATATGCAAGTGTGTGTTTCCATGTTTATTTATGTGTCCACATATTGAGTATATAGTGGGGAAACTTTTATTTTTTATCCTTGAAACATTCCATATTTCTTAGAATTCCTGTATCAACCATAAGGATATTAGAAGTATAACCAACTTTTTTGCAAAAGGTCAGCTTTTCAATTGAGGCATGTCATTTTAACAAATAATTTGCTTAAAAACTTCATGTCAGCAGGGTGCGGTGGCTCATGCCTGTAATCCCAGCACTTTGGGAGGCTGAGGCAGGCAGATCACATGGTCAAGAGATCAAGACCACCCTGGCCAACATAGTGAAACTCTGTCTGTACTAAAAATAGAAAAATTAGCTGGGTGTGGTGGCGCACACCTGTAGTCCCAGCTACTTGGGAGGCTGAGGCAGGAGAATCACTTCATCCTGGGAGGCGGAGCTTGCGGTGAGCTGGGATTGTGCCACTGCACTCCAGCCTCGTGTCAGAGTGAGACTCTATCTCAAAATGAATAAATAAATAAGTAAAAAACAAAACTTCATGTCACAGAATTTATTAACATTCCTGGCAACAACAACAACAAAAGGCTGATGTGTTCTGCAGTTGGGTTTAGAAGATTTTTCTGGGAACTGCATCTGAAAACAGTAAAAGGCCTAATTATATCAAGTGGAAACATAGGGTTGCTTGCAGATGGTGTTTTATTAGGAAATGAATCTGTTAATAAATGTAGCTTTATACATGATTTATTTACAGATGTTTTTGTTTATTTTTACCTTAGGATAAAAATCTGCTGGTGTAGACAGCTTTGCATTTTGGTGCAATTTGTTATTAGTATAGTTTGCCAAGTAAATATATGCACATGAAAAGGATTGATATTACATATTAAGTGTCTTCATCCTAAGTCAATAAGCTTTTGAAATTATAAAGCTAATGTGTAGAGTGTCATATCCCTAAAGGGTTATTTGCTTTACATGCTGCTCTTGGCTGCGATCTAAGGCTATCTGAGGCTCCAATTGCTGCAAAACTAGATGCCTTAGAAAAGTTTAATAGAAATTATGTGGGATTTTTCTGTAGCTTATTTTAGTGGTTAGCTTTGTCAACCAGCTGAAAAATTATTGCTGACATTTGTGACTGTGCCTGTTTTGTTTCACACCCTATGCAGTGAACACTGGGAGTACAATTACCTTTATTTATTATGAGGTGGAGAGTAAACTCAGGTCCCTTCTGTGACAACTGCGGAGAATACTGGGATATTACCATTGGTGTTCTAGATATGTCCATGCAGCTACACAGAAATAAGACAGCTGCTTCAATGAATGGAAGGCCATTCGGTTGCTGTTTATAATTCATGCTAAGAATTTTTCACTTGATGCATTAGTCTGTTTTCATGCTGCTGATAAAGACATACCTGAGACTGGACAAGTTACAGCAGAAAGATATTTAGTGGACCTACAGTTCTACGTGGCTGGGGAGGGCTCACAATCGTAGTGGAATGTGAGAGGCATATCTCACATGGTGGCAGGCAAGAGAGGAGAGCTTGTGCAGGGAAATGCCCCCTTATAATAACCATCAAACCTCGTGAAACTTACTCACTATCAGGAGAACATCACAGCAAAGATCTGCTCCCATGATTCAATTACCTCCCATTAGATTCCTCCCACGAAGCATGGGAATTGTGGGAGTTACAATTCAA